CTGGCCTCGGCCTCCCGAAGGGCTGGGATGACAGGCTGAGCCACCCGAGCCTGGCCTGTAGCTGTCATTTCTGCTGAATCTGCCTCTAAAACAGCCACCGCTGTGTGCTGCCGTCTTCGTAGGAACCTTGGGGTTTGGGCTCCGAGCGGGAGTTGGCAATCAGCGTGGAGAGTATGTGTGCTCGGCGGCCCAGCCCGCAGTCCCGCGCTCTGGGAGGCCGAGGCAGTGGATCGCCCGGGCCCGCGGGCTCGAGACCCGCCTGGGCAGCTTGGCGAGACCTCGTCTCCGCAGCCAGTCAAAACACGAGCCGGGCGTGGCAGCGCGCGCCTGGGGTCCAGCCCCTCGGAAGGCGGAGGCGGAAGGAGCGCCGGAGCCCGGCGGGTCGAGGCTGCGGGGCCGGAGCGGCCGCTGCGCTCCAGTCCGGGCGACGGAGCGAGACTCCCACTCAAAAAAAAAAAAATGTGTGTGCCTACTGCATATGCATGTGCAGAATCTGAGGCAGCGTTTGGGCTAGTGGCCCAGGTCCTCTGTCAGTAGACTAGTCCTCAGCCTAAGGGTTTAGGGTATGAAAAAGCTGCCATTGGTCAACTGCGAAACGGATGAGTCTTGTAGGCTATATTTAGGTGCCAGTAGCTTAGAATGGAAGGTGGGGCCCAATCCTAGGAGTGTCCTAGAACCCAGCAGTTTGTTTGTGTGTGCATGTATGAATGAATGAAGGAATGAATGAGGAGGTCTTGCTATGCTGCCCCGACTGGTCTTGAACTCCTGGCTTAAGCAATCCTCCTGCCTCGGCCTCCAAAGTGCTGGGATTACAAACGTAAGCCACTGCACTCAGCCAACTACATTTTTTTTGCTGCTGTTCTCCATGGGTTTGCCTTTTCAGGACATTTTCTATAAATGGGATCATCATATATGTGGACTTGATGTGTCTGACTTCTTTCACTTAGCACACTGTTTTCAAGGATCATTCATGTTGTATATATCAGGACTTACTCCTTTTCGTGACCGAATAATATTCCAGTACCACATTCTGCTTGTCCACTCGTCATCTGATAGAGAGTTGTGCTTCCACCTTCTGGCTAGTGTAAATAATGCAGCTTACACAGACAGTTTCCTAAAAGGATTTAAGAAACCTGTTAACAACTACTCCCAGCCAGGTGTGGCGGCTCATGCCTGTAATACCAGCACTTTGGGATGCAGAGGTGGGAGGATTGCCTGAGCCCGCAGATTTGAGACCAGCCATGGCAATTTGGTGATGCCTCATCTCAACCATAAATAAATTTTAAAGATTAGCCATGTGTGGTGGCATATGCCTGTAGTTCCAGCTATTTGAGAGCTAAGGCAGAAGGATTGTCTGAACTTAGCAGGTTGAGGCTGCAGTAGCCATAAGCTGTACTCTCTGGACAACAGAATGAGACTCTAACTAAAAAAAAAAAAAAAAAAACCCAAAAAACTCCTCCTGGGAAGTATGAAAGGGAGACACACTGTTTACCTTTTTGTATTCAATAATTTTTTTTAACTGATTGCATATATTACTTTATCATTAAAACAAAAATGCCCAATTACTAATCATTTGACCATGAATAAGTGTGCCTCTTGGTTTCATCGTAAATAAAATTGGACTGAATATTTGTCAAGGTCTTTTTCAGCTCTCAGATTTTATGTTTTGTGATAAAATGAGTGATAATGTTACAGGAACTTTTCTTCATGAAGAGAATTGTAACTTTCAGTTCATTTTCATCATAGGACCTAGAGTGCTTGTTAAATGGAAGGGATCAGTAATTTCAAGACACCAAGCAAATTATCTGAAACAAAGAAATCTGGTAAGATAGCCTTTCTTATTTTGATACTGTTACTGCTATTAGAAGTGTCTTAGTATTGTAGTTTGATCCTTTATCATGTTCAAACAATTTTAGCACAAATCCTCTTTATACTGTTAGCCAAGTAAAAGTTAAAGGCCAGGGCTTGGTCATCTCTGTACTAATTTTATTGACATTCTAACATATTTGAAGGCTCTCCCTGAAGAATCAACTTAGTCTGAGCCGTTAAGGAGTGCTTTACCCTTTCCCCTCCCAGCCATGCCTTGCTCTTGTAAAGGAAAGGTGTTTTCCAAGGCAGTTTCTTTTTTTTTTTCCAAGTTGGAGTCTCACTCTGTGGCCCAGACTGGAGTGCAATGGCCACTCCGGCCACCGCAGCCTCGACCTGCTGGGCTCCAGCGATCCTTCCGCCTCAGCCTTCCAAGCAGCTGGAACTACAGGCGCGCACTACCACGCACGGCTAATTTTTGATTTATTTCAGAGATGAGGTCTTGCCAAGTTGCCCAGGCGGGTCTCGAAGTAGCTGGAACTAAAGGCGTGCACCACCATGCATGACTAATTTTTTTTAAATTGTAGAGTTGAGGTCTCACCAAGTTGCCAGGGTGGTCACGACTCCCTGGACTCAGGCAGTCCTCTTGCCTCTGCCTCCCAAAGTGCTGGGATTATAGGCATGAGCCACTGCATCTGACTCTGATAGAGTTTTGATATGAGTTTTGACATTATTATGGTTCCCCCCCCCGCCATCTTAGCCTCCCTAGAAGCTAGGACTACAGGCATGCAGTATCACACCTGGCTAATTTTCTTAATCATTTGGAGAGATGAGATCTTACTACATTGCCCCAGCTAGTCTTGAACTCCTGGCCTGAGCAATCCTCCTACCTCAGCCTCCCAAAGCACTGAGATTATAGGCATGAGCCTCTGTGTCTGGCCCCTTTATTTTATAAAAATTCGAAGGAGGTAAGAACATGTATCACTTGTTAACTGTGCAAAAACAGACCATTTGCTAACCTCTGCTTCAGTGTCACTGTAGCATAGATCTCCCAAAGCAGACTTGGCTAAAGGACACTCACTTAAGGTTAGGATGATACTCTCAAATCGCGTTCCAAAAGGACTTTGCCAATTAATATTCTTAGCAATAATATATTGAGAATGTTGAGATGATTTTGTAGAAGTCTTTTAAAATACTAACTTTATTTTTCACTTCTCTTTCGGCGTTTAGTATTATGTTCAACTCCATGTATAAATATCCCTGCTTCTCCATTTATGCAGAAGCTCGGCTTTGGTACTGGGGTAAATGTTTACCTAATGAAAAGGTAAGTATAAGATCTCAGATTAACCTTTTAATGTAGAAAGGAATGTGAAAACTCAAGTATTTGGACTGGGCGCATGTGCCTGACCCAACCTGGCTGCTGCGTTCCAGTCCTTGGCATCCTTTGTGCCTTTGCCAGAGCTCTTCTGCCTGGCATGCTTTTCTCTTGGCTTCTTCCTGATAGGTCATTAAAGGAGAAGTAGTTTACCTAATAATTGTTTGTTGGCCCCCATAGAAAGGGGAGAGAGTTCCTTTGTGGTTCTGAATAATAAATAACACAAGGTTCTGAGTAAGAAAACCTAAGTGAGAGTTCGAGACCAGCCTGAGCAACTTGGCAAGACCTCGTCTCTACAATCAATCAGAAAATAAGCTGGACATGGTGGCACGCTCCTGTGGTTCAAGCTACTTGGAAGGCTGAGGCAGAGGCATCCCCTGAGCCCAACAGTTGAGGCTGCGGAGGCCGTGATTGTGCCACTGCACACCAGCCTGGGCGACAGAGTGAGACTCCAACTTAAAAACAAATAAATAAAAAGAAATGTCTGAAGATGTAAAGTGATCACATAGCTGATCTTGAAAACAACAGTCCCTGCCTGGCCCTGCCACTCATGGTGTGGCCCTGTTAGCCACAGACAACCTCCAGATTTCCTTTGCTTCTCTGCTGAATCGGATCCTCTGTTTTTCGGTGTCGGATGACTTATTTCTCGGTTTACATTCCAGTTTGGTTGAGGAGATCTGGTAGCTCTCCATGAAAGGGTGGACAGGAGATAGACTTTGAAATTTGCTTTTCTAAAAGTGTTTTCATGTTGCCCTCATATTTGAATGGCCCTTGTAGGTGTGCTGGGCTAGAATTTTTGTTTGGAAATAATTTTTCTTTGGAATTTTGAGAATACCAGTCACTGATATTGTTTCTTAGCCCTCACTGTTGCTGTTGAGGATGAGGAAGCCTTTCTGACTGCTGATCTTTTTATGTAATGATTTATGTTATCTGTCCTTCCCATTGTTCTGGATACTTGTATGATCTGTTTTTTGCTAGCGTTCTGAAATTTCACAATGTCAAGTCTGGGTGGGCCTCTTGAAATCTGATAGTTCTGTTCTTAAATTTGGGAAATTATTTTAAAAATTATGATTTTTACCCCTGTTTTTCTCTGTTCTCCATCTGGAATCCTACTATTTGCATTTTGAATTTACTGGACTGATCGCTGATCTACCTTTTTTGCTTGATTTTCTTATTTTCTGTCTCTGTCTTTTTTTGCTCTGTTTCCTGAGAGTTCCCCAACTTTTATCTTTCTTTCTGTGTTTTTGCTTAAATTGAAGTCTTACTCTGTCGCCCAAGCTGGAGTGCAGTGGCACGCTCACAGCCACTACCGCCTCGACCTGCTAGGCTCAGCTGATCCATCTCAGCCTTCCAAGTAGCTGGAACTATAGGAGTGTGCCACCATGCCCAGCTAATTTTTTGATCTATTGTAGAGATGAGGTGTCACCAAGTTGCCCAGGCTGGTCTCAAACCCCGGGGCTCAGGTAGTCCTCTCGCCTTGGCCCCCAAAGTGCTGGGATTACAGGCTGAGCCACCCTGCCCAGCTAATATAGTTTTGTTATATTATTTTTAAATACACTGATGAATTCTATTTGCTAATATTTGTTTGGAATTTTTGTATCTATATTATTATTTTTGTGAACAGATTACTAGCAAGCTTTTTCAAAAGTAGAAGTTCTTGTTAGTCATTTGGAAATGTATTGTGGTATTCATTCTTTTCTATCCTTTAAAAAAAATTTTTTAAAAAATTTTTTAAGTGAAGGATGGGAGGGACAGAGAAAGGAAGGATGGAAAAAAGAAAGGCATTGTGGGAGAGAGGAAAATAGAAGACAAAACAAAACCAGAATGGACTGGCAAGAAGAGAGAGAGAAGGAGAGAGAGAAGGCAAACTAGAATGAATTAGCAAAGGAAAGAAGGAAGGAAGAAGGGAGAGAAGGCTATCCTTTTTAAAAATTTAATTTCATATTTTTTAGATCTCCAAGAGGTTTGTCTCATTCTCCTTGGGCTATAAAAAAGATTAACCCTATATGTAACGATCATTATCGGAGTGTGTATCAAAAAAGACTAATTGATGAAGCTAAGATCTTGAAAAACCTTCATCATCCAAACATTGTAGGTAAGTTGAAATTTATTTGGTAGCAGTGTCTGGTACAATATTTTGTTTATCCAGAGGCAGCTTATATATTCTCTTAACTGGTTTTACTAATAGAAACAAAGAGGATGGGGCTGGAGGGTTGCCAGGAATCAAGTTAATGGGCTCGATCTACAGTAAAAATTTACATATAATATTTTGGTTTTTTTGTTTGTTTTTGAGTTGGGTTCTCACCCTGGTCACCCAGGCTGGAATGCGGTGATTTGATCATGGCTCACCGCAGCCTCAGCCTCTTAGACTCAGGTGATCATCCTCCATCTTAGCCTCCCCCAAGTAGCTGGAACTACAGGCATGCACTACCATGCCCAGCTAATTGTTGTTATTTTTATTTTTTGTAGAGATGAGGTCTTGCCGTGTTGTCCAGGCAGGTCTTGAACTCTTGGGCTCAAGGAACCCACCTGCCTTGGCCTCCCAAAGTGTTTGGATTACAAGTGTAGGCCACCATGACCAGCCCACATATATTATTTTTAGATGCTTAAGTACATATTTAAACTTGGGAATAGATATAGACATTATAATGCTGGTACCTCCATGGAGATTACAGGAATACAAGACAATCTTCATGTAGATAATTTAAACTCATATAGGTAATTTCCTGGTTCTCATTTTTTATTAAAAAAATTTTATTACAAAAACGTCAGTGAAGATCATTTTATATTTTTAATACAAGTAGGGCTGGTGAAATAATACTATTTAGAGAAGCATAGAGTAGCAAAAATATTTTAATTTGTGGTACTATTAGCAAACACTGAAGGCATTTTAAATTAGATCTACAGAATTTGTTTTGTACATAATAGCTGTTTCATTGTATATTTGTCAGTGTTAGTCCAGATCCATGTTTTCAGTCAGTTTACTGTGGAAAACTTGAATGCTGTTGTTCTCCTCTGTACTAGTAGAGAAATGGCATGTTTTCTTTAAGGTTATCGTGCTTTTACCGAAGCCAGTGACGGTACTTTGTGTCTTGCTATGGAATATGGAGGGGAGAAATCTCTAAACGACTTGATAGAAGAGCGGGATAAAGACAGCCGAGCTCCTTTTCCAGCAGCCGTAATTTTAAAAGTTGCTTTGAATATGGCAAGAGGGCTAAAGGTAGCTGTTATATTGTACATATCTTTTGTGAAATATAAAAAAACTAAGCACTTGGTATACCTAATTACAAGGTGGGATTTTTTTCTTTTCTCCCAAAAGACAGAGTTTCCTTAAAGTCAATATAGAGTCCATCACATTGTGGAGTGTACTGTTTCTTTATTTTCATCAGTAAGGTATTGTGTGGGGCCCTCACATAGCCTGAATATGTGTTAGATTTGGTTCAATGGATTAATAAGTTTAACTCAAATTTCATAATTATTCCTGCAGGTATAGCCCAACTCCCTATTAATACAAATTCTTAAAGATTACTTTGTGGGATTTTAAGTTCTGGACATCATGAGTATACATCTACAAGTCCAATGAAAAAAGCTCTGCCATTATGCAAAGAAATTATTGTGCCTTTGAATAGACATGATGCTAAGCATAAAAAATTCTATATACTAAATAAGTGAAAGTAATCATTGCTCCAGAAAACTATTAGATGACTCAAAAGTGGATCAGATAATGATGATACTGATACCAAATCTGCATGTTAAGATTTCTAGGAAAACTGATTTGTGAAACCTTGGGGGGGAACAGTGTTTCAAATTTGTATTTTAATTTATAGAAAATGATTTTAAATGGATAGACTAAATTGAATGTTTTAATAACTAGTTATTTTAAATGTGTATGTGTACGTATGTATAATAGATTTACTGAGTTACACGGTAAATATATTTGGCATGTTCACCTTAAGATGTGCTGCATTTAAATTAAGCATAGTTAAGTGTTTCTGTGTAAGGAGCAGACATACACCAAGAATTGTCTCTGTATCGTTTCTTTTTTTTTTTTTTTTTTTTTTTTTGAGGTGGAATCTCACTCTGTCACCCAGAGCAGTGGCTGCTCCCAGCCACCACAGCCTCCACCTGCTGGGCTCCAGCGATCCTTCCGCCTCAGCCTTCCAAGTAGCTGGAACTACAGGCGTACGCCACCACGCCCAGCTAATTTTTTTGATTTATTATAGAGCTGAGGTCTCGCCAAATTGCCCAGGCGGGTCTCAAACCCGCGGGCTCAGGCAATTCACTCACCTCAGCCTCCCAAAGCGTGGGATTACAGGCTGAGCCACCAAGCCCAGCTTTTGTATCGTTTCTAAGCCCAGCTCATAGAGAAGATGCTCAAATGCTGAAGAATGAACAAATAACCACTTTGCAGAACGTTTTGTTTGCTTGTTTGTTTGTTTGTTTTTGAGTTGGAGTCTCACTCTGTCACCCAGACTGGAGTGCAGGGGCACACTCCCGGCCACCACAGGCTCGACCTACTGGGCTCCGGTGATCCTTCCGCCTCAGCCTTCCAAGTAGCTGGAACTACAGGCGCGCACTACCACGCCCGGCTCATTTTTTTGATTTATTGTAGAGATGAGGTCTCGCTAAGTTGCCTAGGTGGGTCTCGAACCCGCGGGCTCAGGCAATTCACTCATCTTGGCCTCCCAAGGCATGGGATTACAGGCTGAGCCACTGAGCCTGGCTGCAGAACGTTTTTTAATGTGGGCGAATATTGTTATTTGTCAATTTCAAGATGGGAGTTAATGTACAAAACAAAATACAGTCCTAGATTACACTTCTGCTGCTTCTTCCACTTATGAATTACAGTGCTGCATTGCTTAGTATGTTCTAAGAAATGCATCAGGGAATTTCATTATTGTGCGGACATTATGGAGTGTACTCACACAATCCTAGGTATGTAGCTACTACACACCTAGGCTATATGGTATAGACTGTTGCTGCTAGGCTACAAACCTGTACAGCATGTTACTCTACAGATTACTGTACGCAACTGGAACACAATGGTATTTGTGTATCTAAACGTGGAAAAGGTATAGTAAAATACAATACTGTAATCTTATGGGACCACTGTTGTATATGTGGTCTGTTGTTGACCAAAGTGTCCCTGTGTGGTACATGACTTGTCTATGTGGCCCCATGTCGTCTGTTGTCCTGCATTGTATCAGCAGTGCTTTTGTGGAAAATATGCCTCATTGTGAGGATTCCAAAATTATTTCTAAAAATTACTAAACTAGCCTCAAGTGAGATGGATATATTTAAAAATCTGCAGTAGTACCTTCGGATTTAAAAAAGTACATAGGATTAGTTAACTTATCTATAAGTAGCTAACAAGGTTAACGTATCGATAAGTTGATGTGTAACTCTAAAGAATCTTTAGATTTTTGGTCAGTATGGCAGACAGATATATGGAATATTCTCTTGCTCCAAATGATTTGAGATGCTGGACAAATAAAAGTCTGTAGTTTAGGAAGGCATTTAAGTCATTAGTTTTATTTGGAGGTTATCATATGTGTTCAATTTTTTACTATTTTAGTATTTGCACCAAGAAAAGAAACTACTTCATGGAGACATCAAGTCTTCAAATGTTGTGATTAAAGGTGATTTTGAAACAATTAAAATCTGTGATGTAGGAGTCTCTCTACCATTGGATGAAAATATGACTGGTAAGTAGTATTAAAAGTTTTAAAATTTTGTTTTTAAACTCTTGTTTTGAGTCAGAGTTTCACTCTGTCACCCAGGCTGGGGTACAGTGGCACACTCACGACCACTACAGCCTTGGCCTGCTGGGCTCAGGTGATCCTTCCATGTAGCTGGAATTATAAGCGTGCACCAACATACCCAACTAATTTTTTTGATTTATTGTAGAGACAAGGTCTCGTCAAGTTGCCTAGGCTGGTCTTGAACCCTTGAGCTCAGGTAATCCTCTTGCCTCCGCCTCCCAAAGTGCTGGGATTACAGTACAGTATTTACATTTTTTTTTTTTTTTTTTGAGATGGAGTCTCACTCCGTCACCCAGACTGCAGTGCAGTGGCACACTCCTAGCCACCACAGCCTCGACTTGCTGGGCTCCAGTGATCCTTCCACCTCAGCCTTCCAAGTAGCTGGAACTACAGGCGCGCACTACCATGCCCGGCTCATTTTTTTTTTTGATTTATTATAGAGATGAGGTCTCGCCAAGTTGCCCAGGGGGTCTCGAAGCCGTGGGCTCAGGCAATCCACTCACCTCTGCCTCCTAAAGCGTGGGATTACAGGCTGAGCCACCGAGCCCTGCTCAGTATTTACATTTTTAATTACATAGTAAGTTCACATGGCTCAAAACCAAAAAACTATTTTTTAAAAAATATATGAGAAGTCTCCCTCCTCGTCTTCCTCTCTCCCACCCAGCCTCCAGTCCTTCCCTGCCATTTACCTGTACAGGATACTTTATCGGCTTCCTATTAGTATATGTTCTAACTGCAGGTAGCTTTGGGGAAAATTTCTCACCTGGATTGAGACTGTTAAGCAGTAAAGCATCTGGGAATAGAAAGTAAAATTTGAGTCAGTTTTCGTAAAGCAATCCATTTCATCAGTAAAGTGACAAGATTTGGGAAACGTAGAAGACCCTGGAATGGCAGTAGGAAAGAAGAGTGCCAGTAAAGGCCAGGCTTTGGGATTTTGCCCTTGGCTCACCTCAACTCATCTTTTCTTTTTATTGTAAATATGGACCATTCGCTTCCCAGGGAATCTAAGACTCGCTCTCAGTGAGAACCAAGGGCCAGCCGCAAGAGAAAGTCTCTGCTTTCAACATTATTTAGTAGATAGACCAGGCCCAGTGGCTCACACCTGTAATCCCAGAACTTTGGGAGGCAGAGGCGGAAGGATCCTCACGTGAACCCAGGAGTTTGATACCAGCCTGGGCAACATAGCGAGACCTCGTCTCTACAAAAAATACAAAACTTAGCCGGGCGTGGTGCCACACACCTGTATCCCAGCTATTTAGGAGACTGAGGCGGAAGGATGGTTGAAGCCCAGTAGTTTGGGGCTGTGGTGAACCGTGATTGTGCCACTGTACTGCAACTGTGACAGAGTGAGACCCTGACTCTAAAAAAAAAAAGTCAATATATTCTCCATGCTGTACTTTAGGTCTCCAGAACTTACTCATCCTGCATAACTGAAACTTTGTTCCCCTGGTTAACAGTATTGTATACTTGAGATTTACTACAAGGGTATGTGTTCTTGCACACTAAAAAGAAAATGGTAACTATATGAGGTGGTAAGTTAATTAGCTTGATTGTGGAGATACAGTCACAGTGTATGTGTATATCAAAAATTGCATTGTATATCTTCTTAAATATATACAATTTTATTTGTCAGTTATATCTCAATAAAGCTAAGGGGGGAGAGTCAATATAATTCACCATATTAACAAATTTGAAAACTACATATTTGTCTCAATCGATGCAGAAAAAGCATTTGATGTAATTCATCCAGCTATCTAGAAATAGAAGGGGTCTTAGCCTGAGAAAGTCTCCCTAGAGAAAAACCTACAGGTAACATCATATGTAAATAGGGAATAAGACCAGATGCCTGCTCTTGCCAGTGTCATTTAACATTTTCTACAGTACTTGCCACTAAAACAAGGCAAGAAAAACAAGGCGTCAAAATTGGAAATGAAAGGGAACTTTCCCCATTTGCAGTTGATACAATTTTTTTTAGGTATTAATGCAAATCCCAAGGAATCTATAAAACAGCCTCTAGAAGAAGTGAAGTTGGCAATTACATTTCTGTGTATATTTCTATTTTATTATTTATTTATTTATTTATTTTTGAGTTGGAGTCTCACTCGGTCGCCCAGACTGGAGTGCAGTAGCCGCTCCCGGCCACCACAGCCTCGCCTGCTGGGCTCCAGCGATCCTTCCGCCTCAGCCTTCCGAGTAGCCGGAATTACAGGCATGCGCTACCATGCCCGGCTGATTTTTTGATTGATTGTAGAGATGAGGTCTCGCTGCCCAGGCGGGTCTTGAACCTGCAGGCTCAGGCAATCCACTCACCTCAGCCTCCCAAAGGCGCGGGATTACAGGCTGAGCCACTGAACCCGGCTTATATTTCTATTTTAGAAAAATTCCATTTACAAGTGCCAGAAACCCCAAATATTTTAAGAATAAATCTAAACAAAAGTCTTAAGCCTCTATCCTGAATACCATAAAGCATCACTGAGAAAAATTAGATATAACTAAGTGGAGAACTATTATCATGATTATGGATTGAGAGACTCAATACTGTTAAGATGTTAATTCTGTCCAAATTGATCCAGAGATTCATTCCAATCCCAGTCAGAACTCTAGGTGGCTTTTTCATTGGAATTGACAAGTTGACTTTAAAAGTAAACGGATATGTGAGTGGATCTATTTCATTTCTGGGCTTTAGGAACCAATGTATAGGCTGGGCTCAGTGACTCAGCCTGTCATCCCAGCACTTTGGGAGGCCGAAGCGAGTGGATTGCTTGAGCCTGCTGGTTCGAGACCTGCCTGGGCAGCTTGGTGAGACCTCGTCTCCACAATAAATCAAAAACGAGCCAGGCGTGGTAGCACACTTCTGTAGTTCCGGCTCCTTGGAAGGCTGAGGTGGAAGGATCGCCAGAGCCCAGCAGGTCGACGCTGGGGTGGCTGTGAGTGCCACGGCACTTGAGCCTGGGTGGCGAGTGAGACTCCAACTCAAAAAAAAAAAAAGAACCAATGCACGCTTGGACCCTTTCCCTTCCCTTTTTCCTGACGTGGCAATTATGGAAGCATAAAAATGGTACTTCTGTCAGCCTAATGACATAGTTCACAAAACGTAGAAACTGAGGCCTGGAGGGGAAGTGATCTGTCTGCTCAAGGTCACACAGTTTGCCTGTCTTTAAAGCCTGGCAAGGCATCCTAGCTCCAGGGTCCGCATTCTTGACAGCCCCACCCGATCTACATTTCTGCCACTTTTCTAAGAGAATGGCTGTTTCCTTGCTTGCTTACCAACTGACCAGCTTCTTGAATATTTACCAGTCTGATAGGTGAAAAGTAACCCTTATTCATGAGATGGAGTATATTTGCATGTTTACTGGCGACCTTGATTAACCTGTGAACTACCTGTTCAGATCCTTTGCCTGTTTTTTTCGGGGGCTGCTTGCCTTTCTTTTTGTGACTCCTCGCTCTTTCCATCAGGCTTGTTTGACTTGTATCGGGCTTGTTTCAGTGACCGACCCTGAGGCCTGCTACATCGGCACAGAGCCATGGAAACCCAAGGAAGCTTTAGAGGAGGATGGTGTTATTACTGACAAGGCAGACATATTTGCTTTTGGTCTGACTCTGTGGGAGATGATGACTTTATCTATTCCACACATTAATCTTCCAGATGATGAGGACGACGATGATGAAGGTATGAGGGCAACTTTTTAAATTTCACTGACTCTAAAGATGAGCTTGTATAGTTATATCTTTTCATTATGTTAAAATTTAAGGCCGGGCTCGGTGGCTCAGCCACTTTGGGAGGCTGAGGCAAGTGGATTCCCTGATCCCAGGCTTGAGGTCGGCCTGGGCAGCTGGGCAAGAGCTTGTCTCTACAATAAACACACAATTAGCTGGGCGTGGTAGCGCGCGTCTGTGGTTCCGGCTCCTTGGAAGGCTGAGGCAGAGCCCAGCCGGAGCCCAGCAGGTCGACGCTGGGGTGGCCGTGAGCGTGCCACTGCACTCCAGCCTGGGCGATGGAGTGAGACTCCAACTCAAAAAAAAAAAAAAATTTAAAAGAGCAAACTGTTGATTTAGTGGCATGGTTTCTAGAATATAGCTTATATTAATATTGGTGACTAATTTGGTACCATCTATGTTTTTTTGGATTTTTGAGTCAGAGTCTCACTCTGTCACCCAGGCTGGAGTGCAGTGGCATGCTCAGGCCACCACAGCCTCGACCTGCTGGGCTCAGGCGGTCCTTCCACTTCAGCCTTCCAGGTAGCTGGAACTATGGCACACGTTACCATGCCCGGCTTATTTTTTGATTGATCGTAGAGACGAGGTCTCACCAAGTTGCCCAGGCTGGTCTGGAACCCCTGAGCTCAGGCAGTCCTCTCACCTCAACCTCCCAAAGTGCTGGAATGACAGGCCTGAGCCACTGTGCCTGGTCTGCCATCTGTGTTTAAGCTCACAAAAATAAGATATACATTGATGGAGAATAGGGAGATAAAATTGAGAAAAGCTCAAGGAACAAATAGTTATCTTAAAAACTCTGAGAAAAAAATTGGGAAGCCATCATAGGAAGGGGACAGGAGTCAGTAACCTATAATCCAAGACAGCAGCTCATCTCCTTGATGGCAGGACGGGGGAAGAGACTGCCTATAATAGAAAGCATGTTGGATAATAAATTCCAGTTTCAGGAGGGTGAGCTACTGAGCTTCTCCATGACTTAAAGTGACTTTGTTTTCTGTTCCAATCTCCACCTCCTTCAAGATGAAACTTTTGATGAAAGTGCCTTTGATGACGAAGCATACTACGCAGCTTTGGGAACGAGGCCGCCCGTTAATATGGAAGAACTGGATGAATCGTACCAGAAAGTCATCGAACTCTTCTCGGTGTGCACGAGCGAAGACCCTAAGGACCGTCCTTCTGCCGCACACATCGTTGACGCTTTGGAAACAGATGGCCAGTGATCGCCTCAGCATGAAAGGTGGCCTGTGCCATAGCTAGCTGTCTTTACTCTGATACTTGTAGGTGGCTGTAGTTCTTAGACTCCCTGGAAGTGGCCTATTGAGGCCCGTAGAAGCGTGTTAACCTTGGAATAGCTGTTTCTAATATAAGGATATTTTGGACAGGCTTATGGTAAGCACTTGGAGTTTACTTGGTTTTCCCTTTAGTTTAAGAAACTAGCTATGAAGTACTTGGACACTGCCTGTGCAGACTTAACACTAGCAGTAAAATGCTGTCACCTGCGTCTAACGGTATTTGGGTTGAATGGCCCTTGCCTTGAATGATCTTTCTCAGATACTCTCTATCTTAATGGAGCGACTGAAATTAGCACTTTGTACAGGACAAAATAAGTCTACATCTGTTGGTATTTAAAACACCAAGGCTTTTGCTGGCCTTTCTTGGTGGATGTGCTTACTGAATGGTCACTGGAAGCTGAGCATATGACTCACAAGAGGAGCTCCTCGGGTATTTCCAGGCCAGTTACGGCTTGTCTTGCTCTCTTGAATCTCCTCAGATCTTTGGGCTTGGCTTTAACTTACTAGATGTATTTTCTGTAGTGAGATTCCGTTTCATGTTTTATTTGCTAGTTTGTATCTTAAGCATTTCACAGTTCTTGTGTAAAAATAAAACTCAAATAGAATGATATAGAATAAAGGACGATTTCAGTTCCAGAAGGTGTCTCAGCATTACCTTATTTTCCATGGCAGCCGATTGTTGCGTCATTAAACTTTTGGAGTGTATACAAGGTTTCTTTCCCTCTCGTGACCTTGTTTTGCTGATCTGTAAAACGGTTGATTTGGATCTGTAGTTTCTGTGAAGCACAGCCTCCTGGGAATTTTCTTTTTCTTTTTTTGCGCCGGAGCCCCAGGCTGGAGTGCAGAGGCATGCTCACAGCCACTGCAGCCTCGACCTGCTAGGTCGGCGATCCTTCACCTCAGCCTTCCAAGCAGCTGGAACTATAGGTGCGTGCTACCACGCCGGGCAAATGTTTGATTATTGTAAAGATGGGGTCTCACCAAGTTGCCCAGGCGGGTCTCAAACCCCTGGACTCAGGAAATCCTCTAACCTCCACCTCACAAAGTGCTGGGATGACAGGCGTGAGCCACCGTGCTGTTTGGAAATTGTCAAAATTATTGAATTGTAATTGTGAATCTGGATGGCAAATTCAGATTTGGTTGTAGAAAGAATGCTTTTTAAAAAATTAGGATTAAGTCCCCAAACTAATCTACTTGCAGGTGAATAGACAGTATTTTAAAAGTTAATGTCACAAGGGTATTCTTAGACTAGGAACTACTGTAGTGTGAGCTTTAAAAAATTCTGGAACTCACTGGGCAGGGTGGCTCACACCTATAATCCCAGCACTTTGGGAGGCAGGGGTGAGAGGATTGCCTGAGTCCAGGGGTTTGAAACCGGCCTGGGCAACTTAGCGAGACCTTGCCTCTCCAATCAATCAAAAAATTAGCTGGGCATGGTGGCACATGCCTGTCGTTCCAGCTATTTGGAAGGCTGAGGTGGAAGGATCACCTAAGCCCAGCAGGTTTAGGCTGCAGTGACAGTGAGTGTGCCACAGCACGCCAGCCTGGGTGACAGAATGAGAATCCTGTTCAAAAAAACAACAAAAAACCCCAGCACTTTGGGAGGCAGGGGCTAGAGGATTGCATGAGTCCAGGGGTTCAAGACCAGTCTGGGCAACTTGGTGAGACCTTGTCTCTATAATAAATAAATTTTTAAAAAATTAGCCAGGCATGGTGGTGAGTGCCTGCAGTTCCAGCTTCCTGGAAGGCTGAGGCAGGATCACCTGAGCCCAGCAGGTCAAGGCCTCGGTGGCCGTGAGCAAGGTGCCTGGGTGACAGAGACTCTGATTCAAGAAAAACAAGGGTGTCCCTATCTGCCGGAGACCAGCTCCAGCTGGGTTCAGGGTACCCCAAAGGGCACGTATTTAGTTGCCATGTCTCCTTGGCTGTGAGTCTGTTGTTTTTGGTAACTGGCAGTTTTAAGGAGCGCTGGCCGTGCATTGTGTAGAACGCACCTTAACTGGGATTTGTTCACTCGATTTAACTTAACATGTTAACTGTGAACCAGACTGGGTTACAGGACTTGGAGGAAGACAGCCCTCCTCATAATACACCATCAACTACCCTCATGGCGTCCACTGCCGATACTGACCTTGATCACCAGGCCACGGCAGTGCCAGGTCTTCCCGCTGTCACGTTACTGATTTCCCTCCTCTTCCATACTGTACCCTTTGGAAGGAAGTCGCTAAGTGCAGACCCCACGAAAGAAGTGGGCAGTTACACGGAGGCGTCCGTAAAAATTACAGAAGGTCCTCAAATTTTAATGGCCTGACTTTAAGATTTGTTGACTTTGTAATGGTGCTAAAGTGATTTGCACTTAGTGGAAACTACGTTAAATGCTGGGTCTTTCCTGGGCTGGCAATAGGCAGCACGATGCTCGAGAGGCTGGGCACCTCCCAGCCAGCCGTGCAATCACAAGTCAAACAATCAGCACTCGACGGCATCTCCACTACATTCAATAAATTACAGGAAACCCACACTCTATTATAAAATAGGCTTTGTGTTAGAGGACCTGGTCTACCTGCAGGTACATGAACATGTCCTGAGCCTGTTTAAGGTACTGAGCTATGATGTTTGGCAGGTTAAGTGTATTAAATACATCCTTAATATGTTTATGATGGGTTTGGTGGGAGGTAGCCCCATTGTAAGTACAGGAGCATCTCTATTTAGAAATCTCCTACACATCTATTGTAAGTACAGGAGCATCTCTATTTAGAAATCTCCTACACATCTGTCTACTCTCCGTTTATTTATTCAGTCACCTAACAGTATGAACTCATGATCTTGTTACTCAAACTGTTTCAGGATTAGTCACTGGAAATCCTTTTGTACTTAGGGCACTACGGTAGACCTCCCTTATCCACGAGGGAATATGTTCTGAGACCCCCAGGAGAATGCCCGAAACCTCAACCCAACTGCTGTCAGCTAGAACACGTGTCTGTTCAAGCCTTCCACCACAAATTCAGTCCCTTTTCCATCTTAACTAAGCACTCATCACATACTGTGGCCATAACTTTTACAGTTTGAGATGTGACAGCAAAACCACAAATTCCTTTATTCGGCATCATTTCACGATTCGTTCTTACCATAGATCTTAGCGACCTCAGCATACAATTTTTTTATTTTGAGAATGTTCACCTTTTCACTTAAAACTTTATGGGCCGGGCTCGGTGGCTCTGCCTGTCATCCCAGCACTCTGGGAGGCTGAGGCAAGTGGATTGACTGAGCCTGCGGGTTCGAGACCAGACTGGGCAACTTGGCGAGACCTCATCTTTACAATAGATAATAAATTAGCCAGGTGCGGTGGCACGCGCCTAGAGTTCCGGCTACTTGTAAGGTTGAGGTGGAAGGATCACCGGGGCCCAGCAGGTCGACGCTGGGGTGGGCATGAGCGTGCCACTGTACTCCAGCCTGGGGGACAGAGTGAGACTCCAACTCAAAAAATAAACAAACTTTATGCCTTCTCCTTGGCATATCCAAACTGACAGCATCATTACTCCTGCACTTTGGAGCCACTATTAAGTAAAATAATGGTTACTTGAATACAAACACCGTGAGCCCATGCCAGTTGATCCGATAACTGAGATGGCTACTAAGCAAAAGATGGACCGTGTATTCAGTGTGGATAAGCTGGACAAAAATGTGATTAGCATTCTGGGCAGGACACATAAGATTTCATCACACTACTCTGAACAGCAGGCAATTTAAACTTACAAACTGTTTATTTCTGGAATGGTCCATTCAATATTTTAGACCTCAGTTGACCACAGGTACCTGAAATCACAGAAAGCAAAACTGCAGACGGGGCGGGGGAGACACACAGACGGGCTGCTATACAAGATGCTCTAGGCTCATTGTGCATATCCATTGCCCCAGCCCTAGAATGAGCCATTTCTCCAAGGAGCCCCAGTTCCTTTGTTGGAGAAAGGTATTAGAAACCAAGATCTGGGTGCTCAGTATGCTCACTGCTGTTGGGATATTGCTGCTTTGAGGCCTCGGTGCATTTGCTTCTTGTGTGTTATATCTCGATAAAAAAGAAAAAATACCCAATCAAACCAACAGAATCACTAGCAAATCATGGCATGGATCTAAAAGAGAAACAGGCACTTGCAAAGACAACAGGTGAAGTGAAGCAAGTTGCAAACACAACTGCTCATCTACTTCATCAATCTGAAGTCACATGCACTAAATCCAAAGTAGGATTATGAGACACTTCTTCTTCTAACAATCTCTATTTCTGTATCATCTGAATTTTTTATTCTGCAAAGCACACATACTATTTTAATAATGATAAAATGTAACTAAAAAAGAAAGTGAGATCATTTACTCATATAAGAGAACAGACAGAATATTAAAAAGAATTTTAATCAATTGATCACAAAAGCATTGAGCAAACAAAATAATGTTAATAAAACTTTTTAAATAAAATATTTAAGAATTACACACATTTTAACACGTCTGCATTCTTTTTGGAACCCAGACTTGAATTTTGGAGGCAAGTTAACTTATAGGCAAATAGAAAGAAGGCAAATGAACAGATTCTACATAGAGTTACAACCTAGAAAATAACTATTGTCAGAAAGCAGTTAAATGATTTTTTAGAATAATGTTTTGCTTTTCAGAGTAACCAAGAACTATACCAGAAAAATGTGTGTGCACTCAGGCGTATTTACACAGTGCCCTCATGTTCCGTGATCGACCAGCCTAGAGAGACTTACTAACCCTGGTTGTTACCATACGATTTGCAAAGACTCTTGCCAGATGTCTCAGAACAAATAAGGTGCATTTTAGACAAGCAAAAAACTGAAAACAAACCCAAATATATCATCTAACTCAACTAGGCATTCATTTTGTTAATGACATCAATTACCAGTAACAAGTTCCCTAAAGATAAGTAGCACTAACAGTATTTTCACACAACAAAAGTTAACAAAATGGCAATAGTGCAATTACTAAGTATAACTTTAATTAACTGTGATGACAAGTGAGCTCACACTTTAACCTGATTTTAAAAAATATTAAAATGCAAATTCTATAGAACTCTGCTCTACATAAATGGATATGGGCTATCTTACCATCCTTTCTTATTACAAACAAGAAATCCAAAACACTTCCTAAATATATCCAAACAGAGCTGCTATAGACAACTAGGAAGTGACAACTTTGTATAGAGAATTCAGGAATTACCTTTAAAAATCGGGCATGGAAATTACTTGCCTGGATTTAAATTTGCCTCTTTGCTGGTGATGGGTGAGACAATTCTGGTCTAAAAGTGTGCTTAATAAAAGAACAGGTCCCATTTCTGTAAAAAACCACTTTGCTTTGTCAATATTCTTATGTAGGAGTCAAGTACTTTTCCAGTTACAGTTACAAACTTTCATACTTAAGGATACAGGGTGCAAATCAGCATCATCCAAAGACTTTTCCTTTCTTTGAATCCTCAGGTAGTTTTCAACAAATTTATCCCTGACTTCAACTCTTCAGGGACAAAACTGTGGCAGGTGTGTGGGGCATGTGAGTGAGTTTCAATATTTTTTATTTTGATCTTTACTAAGCAGCTCGTATTGTATGTGAGGGGCTGTCTGACCTTATCCACACAGTAACTGCTTTATAGTTGCAATCAGCTTTAACTATTAAAATTGTATACAAGGAAATTAGGCGTGTTGCAGTACTTGGTTGCAAATAACTTGCCATCGGGTGTTGGGTCAGAAAATGCTATTTCATTAGTGCTGAGAAAACAGCCAAACATGAAGCAATTCCTAAAAAAAGAGAAAAAGATGATCTGGCAATGGAACTGACTTAAAGTTTTAATTAGTATGAGCACTATTTAAGAAAAACTCTTAATTGAAATCAAAACTATTTTGATCAGTGATAAGATGCCTCCGACATTAGAGAAAGAATCTAAAGATGTAACTCGCGGATGAGAAAACTGAGGCCCCGAAAAACTCCCCCAGACTCCAGGTTATCAATGGTGAAAAGCAATTAATACAAGATCATATTGATAATCAAAAGACACAGGTAATTAGGGAAAAGACGGACAAAATCAACCATTTTATCCAATAACGATTCTTTTTTAACTAAAACGTGCACTCAGAGCTTTAAGAAGGTAAAAACAAATCTGCGCTTTGATCACAACCTTCCTCGATCCTGCGCAACCAGGACTAAAAGGCAGAAATGTGGCTAGGCCTGGCGGCTCACACCTGCAACCTCAGCATCTCATCTCCCTTGGGAGGCTGAGGAGCGGGGACTGCTTGAGCCCAGGCGTTTGAGACCAGCCAGGCAACAGAGCACGGCTTCATCTCACAAAATATCGCAAAAATGAGGTGGGTGTGGTGGTGCCCGCCTGTAGTCCCAGTGGACTGAGGTGAGAGGATTGCCTGAGCCTAGGAGTTCAAGGTTGTGATGAGCTGTGGTTGTACCACTGAACTCCAGTCTGGGCAAAAGTGAGACTTCAACTCAAAAAAAAAAAAAATTAAAGAATTAGATTCAACTGGAAGATATAAGCTTCTAGTATATTTATTTACTATAATTGAATACACAGGTCTGGCGGAACTAGGTTAGATACTGGTATCCTCATACCAATTTTACATTCTATTAATATAAAATACAGAAAATAGAGGTTTTTCATAACTACCAAGTAAAAATCTTTATAAGACACCAATTTTTCTGACTGATCCCCTTCGTAAGTATGTGTGGGTGACCATGGTTCGAGACTGGATTCCCACAGTGGTCCTGGTATTCATTCTTTACAAATGGCACAGAAATCGAAAGCCTTGAATAATGCTATTTAAAGTGTTGTCACTGGACTGTTACCTGTCCACAATGAGATATGCATAAATGTTGAGAGAATAAGTGTTCTGAAACTTATCTATGTAACCTGGACTAGGTAAATTAGTAAGAAAGTTTATTTGTCACATTAGAAACTTTATCAACATACAGCGTTAGTTCAGTCAGTGTGCACATGGAAGTTTAAAACAGAGAATCACTAATTTTTTGTTTAAATATAATTCATACACCATGAGACTCACCCTTTATAAGTGTACAATTGAGTGGTTTTGTATACATTCACAAACATTGTCTGACCATCATGCCTAACTCCAGAACACTTCATCACCCCAAACTCTGTACCCATCATTAGTTGCTCTCCATTATTCACCCTTCCCTTAGCCCCTGGAAACTACTCATCTACTTTCTGTCTCTATGCATTTGACTACTCTGGATGTTTTATATAAATGGAATCATACAATATAGGGTCTTTTGTAACTGGCTTATTTCAGTTAGCATGTTTTCAAGATCCATCCATGTTGTAGCATGTGTTAGAATTTCCTTTCTTTTTATGGCTGAATAATATCCCATTGTTAATACTGTATGAACACACAACACTTTATCCATTAATCACAGATTGGGTTGTTTACAATTTTTTGGCAATTACAAATAATGCTGCTATAAATTTGCATGTACAAGTTTTTGTGTGGACATACACTTTCACCTCTCCCTAGTACACACCTAGGAGAATTGCTGGGTCACAGGATAACAACTTAACTTTTTTTGTTTTGTTTTGTTTTGTTTTTTTGAGTTGAAGTCTCACTCTGTCATCCAGACTGGAGTGCAGTGGCTGCTCCCGGCCACCGCAGCCTCGACCTGCTGGGCTCCGGCGATCCTTCCGCCTCAGCCTTCCGAGTAGCCGGAATTACAGGCATGCGCTAACCACGCCAGGCTGATTTTTTGATTTATTGTAAAGATGAGGTCTCGCTGCCCAGGCGGGTCTCGAACCCGCGGGGCTCAGGCAATCCACTCACCTCAGCCTCCCAAAGGTGCGGGATTACAGGCTGAGCCACCGAGCCCGGCACAACTTAACTTTTAAGAAACCACCAGACTGTATTCCACAGCAGCTGCACCACTTACATTCTCATTAGCAATGTACAAGAGTGCCAATTTTCTCCACATCCTCACCAGCACTTATTACTGTCCCTTTTTTATTATAGTAATCATACTGGGTGTAAAGTAGCATCTTGCTGTGGTTTTGGTCTGTGATTTCCTTGATAACTAAAGATGTTTAGCATCTTTTAAATGTGTTTATTGACTGTCGTAATTTCTTTGAAAAAATGTCTATTGAAATTCTTTGCCCATTTTAAAACTGGATTGCCTTATAAGTATTATTTTATATATCCTGAATATTAGATCCTTATTAGGTTAAGTGATTTGCAAATATTTTCTTCCATTGTATGGGTTGTCTTGCTAATTCACTTTTTATGTTTAGTTATATTTAAGAGTTATAACAAGTTTTTATCAATTATCTAGTCACATACTATCAGTGAACACATACCGTTTCTATAATTCTTTTTTAAACTTATACTTTGTATCAATTATATTTATTGAAATTCAACTTCACATCTGTTAAATCTCATAAAAATTGGAGCTTGCATTTTTCTTTTGTTCTTCCATTTTTTTCTGGCAATCCATTTTTATTTCATTAAAGTGTTGGTGTCCAATTAAACTAGTCCTGTAGCACAGGTAGTTGGCAAAGCACTGGGATAGAGTGTTTCAGACTTGGAATGTTATGTCCTGGACTGAGTATATCTAGTATTTTTTTTTCTGTTACCAATATTTGCCTTAGCCTGACTGATAGGACTTACACAGACGTGTCCTACTAATATCCTTCCCTTTGGCTCAGAAGCTGAGAAAGGTTATGGAAAAGCTAAAAGCCTGAGGTTCCAGGCCTAGATCCATTTTGTTTTCTTTCTTACCTGAGAGTATCTACAAGTCGTCTTGCAATACGCTTTTTTCTCTTCAATTTGAAAACCCAGATTCTACTTATTCCACAAACTGCAGGTTCTGGCACATTTGAACATTGCCAAGCCCTAGAACTTTCTTTAGAGTTTGGGGATTCGGGGCCAGTTGGTTCAGACAGGACACGAAAGGCCTGCAATGATATACAGAAGCATTTATCACTAACAACACAGATGAGCTCAAAATTAATCTCATATTGCCACCAAAACTGTTAAAAATCATTACCATCTCAATCAAGATACAGAACTGCTATGTCACTGCAGAGATCTTCCTCTTGCTCTTCATGATCACACACACTTTCCCCCCTCACCAGCCCCAATCCCTGGCAACCACTAATTTGTTCTCTATCGCATAATGAGAATGCTATATACTGTTGTACAAATGAAATCAGACAGCACGTGATCTTCTGAGATGGGCTTTCCTACTCAACATAACGCCCATCTATCCAAGTTGTCGTGAGTATCAATTATTTGTTCCTTTTTATTGCTAAGTAAAATTCTACTGTATGAATGTATCACAGTTTGCTTAACCATTCACCTAGTTAAGGACATTCTGGTTGTTACCCAATTTGGGCTATTAAAGATAAAGCTGGTATAAGTAGTCTTGTGCAGGTTTTTATGTGGACATTGGAATCAAAGCATACCACTGCAGAAAATCATATTACAAAGGAATATGGCAAGAACAAAAGATTTACAAAACTACCAAAAGACCAGTTAACAAAATGGCAGTAATAAATTCTTACTCATCAATAATTACCTTAAACTTAAATGGACTAAATTTGTCAATCAAAAGACAAAGTAGGTCACGTGAATTGGCTCTTAGCCCTTTGGGTGGCTAAGGTGGGAAGACTGATTAAGTCTAGGAGTTTGAGACCAGCCAAGGCAACATAGTGAGACCGTGTCTCTACAAAAAAGGCAAAAAGTTAGCCAGGTGTGGCGGTGTGATTACATACCTGTAATCCCAGCTACTAGGGAGGCGGAGGCAGGAAGATAGTCTGAGACAAAGAGGTAGAGACTGTGATCATGCCCCTGTCCTCCAGCCTTGGCAAGAGTGAGACCCGGACTAAAAACAAACCAACCAATCAACCAACCAAACAAAACACCTCTAAATGAATTAGGTGAAGAAGGAATGTACCTCAGTACAATAAAGAGCATATGTTACAAGCCCACAGCTGACAACATACTCAGTAGTGAAAGTTGAAAGCTCTTCCTCTAAGATCAGGAACAAGACAAGAACACTTACTCTCACCACTTATATTCTACATAGGACTGGAAGCTTTCATCAGAGCAACTAGGCAGAAAAAAGAAATAAAGGCACCCAAATCAGAAAGGAACAAGTTAAATTGTCTGTTTGCAAATAACGTGATTTTACATAGAGAAAATGCTAAAGGTCCCACCAAAACTGTTAAAATAAACAAATTCTGAAAAGCAGCAGGATGCAAAAACCAATATACAAAAATCAGTAGCATTTCTGTATACCAACAACAAACTATCCAAGAAAGAAAACAATCTCCTTTACAATAGCATCAAAACATAAAATACTTAGAAATAAATTTAATCAAGGAGGTGAAGAATCTGTGCATTGATAAAAGAAACTGAAGATGATACACATAAATGGAAAGATACCCTGTGTTCATGGTTTACAATAATTAATATTGTTAGAATGTCCAAACTACCCAAAATAATCTACAGATACAGTGCAAACCCCATCAAAACTCTAAGGGCATATTTTACAGAAATAGAAAAAACAGTCCTAAAATTCCTATGGAACCATAAAAGACTCTGAATAGCCAAACAATTTAGAGCAAAAAGTATAAAGCTGGAGGCTCCACACTGCCAGGTCTTAAAATATTTCACAAAGCTATATTAACCAAAACAGCATGGCACTGGCATAAAAAGACACCATGACTAATGGAACAGAAACTGGGAGAATAAATCCAGGCATTTATGGCCAATTGATCTTTGACAAAGATGCCAAGAGAAAACAATGGAGAAAAGACAAGTCTCTTTAATAAATGGTGCTTGGAAAAATTGATATCCATATACAAAAGAATAAAATTGAGTCGGGCTCGGTGGCTCAGCCTGTAATCCCGCACCTTTGGGAGGCTGAGGTGAGTGAATTGCCTGAGCCCGCGAGTTTGAGACCCGCCTGGGCAGCGAGACCTCATCTCTACAATAAATCAAAAAATCAGCTGGGCGTGGTAGCGCATGCCTGTAATTCTGGCTACTTGGAAGGCTGAGGCGGAAGGATCGCCGGAGCCCAGCAGCAAGGCTG